CCTTAAACCATAACCATAACTTTCCACTCACAATCACAATCACCATCACAACCACATTCGAAAATATGGGTGTTGCAAAAGTTCTCAGCAGAAAGTCCGGAGTCATCGTTGGAGATGATGTCCTCAAGCTTTTCAACTATGCTCAAGAGCACAACTTTGCCATTCCAGCTATTGTATGTCATGGCAATGGATGAGGGAATATACTGAGGGATAATTACTAATAGTGGCAGAATGTTACCTCGTCTTCCACCGTCGTAGCAGCTCTTGAAGCTGCTCGCGATGCCAAGGCGCCAATTATCCTTCAAATGTCCCAAGGTGGTGCCGCTTACTTCGCCGGAAAGGTTAGAAAACTTCCATCAACAAACGCCTGCAATAGCTAATTTCTGCACAGGGTGTTGCAAATGGTAACCAAGAGGCCTCCATCGCTGGTGGTATCGCCGGTGCCCACTACATTCGTGCTATCGCACCGGCATACGGTATCCCAGTTGTCCTCCACACCGATCACTGCGCCAAGAAGCTTTTGCCATGGTTAGATGGTCTTCTTGATGCCGATGAGAAATACTTCAAGGAGCACGGCGAGCCTTTGTTCTCCTCCCACATGATCGATTTGAGCGAAGAGGAGGTTGACTACAACATCAAGACTACTGCACAATACTTGAAGAGAGCTGCACCAATGAAGCAATGGCTCGAGATGGTATGTTATCAAATAATCTAGGGCGCCAAGAAATCAACTCTTCTAATTCAATCTATAGGAGATCGGTATTACCGGTGGTGAGGAAGACGGTGTCGACAACGAGGACGTTGACAACAACTCGCTCTACACTCAACCAGAGGATATCCTTGCTATCTACGAAGCCCTTTCCCCCATCTCCCCATACTTCTCGATTGCCGCTGGTTTCGGTAACGTGCACGGTGTCTACAAGCCAGGTAACGTCAAGCTTCGCCCAGAGCTTCTCGGCAAGCACCAAGCCCATGTCAAGCACGCCATAAAATCAAAGGAGGACAAGCCAATCTTCTTGGTCTTCCATGGTGGATCTGGATCCTCCAAGCAAGAATTCTTGGACGCCATCTCCTACGGTGTTGTCAAGGTCAACCTTGATACCGATATGCAATTCGCTTACCTCACTGGTATCCGAGACTACATCCTCAAGAACAAGGATTACCTCATGACCGCAGTTGGTAACCCAGAGGGACCAGACAAGCCAAACAAGAAGAAGTTTGAGTAAGTGCCCCTTGACTCGTTGAAAACCATGTATACTAATACTATGATAGTCCCCGTGTCTGGGTTCGTGAGGGAGAGAAGACCATGTCCAAGCGTCTTGCCGAGGGTCTCAAGGATTTCAACACTGCCGGACAGCTATAAATTTATGATGATGATTAGCGGATATTCAGAATGCTCTTTAAAATTTTACATGGTTCAGGACATTGTTATGAAAGACATGGCGAAGTGCGGAGAAATGGTGGCTGGGGCGGAGGAGTTTTGGTCGAACCTATAAATGCAACGAGATGCTCCATATAGCTCCACAGCTCCATACACTGACATATGATTTCATATTCCCAAGAAACAAAGTAAATGAATGACACGCACGAAAGTCTATCTCGATTAAACGCTCTTATCAGGACTGATTCTATCGCCGCTAAGCATGCCGTCTTGTGCCGTTCTGACGGATAATCAAAACCTTTCCAATCAAAGTGAAGCTGCGCATGATAATTGGCACACCATGGTAAGCCACGTACGAAACGCTGCATAGAAATTTCTTGAGTACTTTGAATGGTGGGATATATATAGAATTACTGGATATGCATGTTTATATTATCTTTCTTTCCGTCTTTCTTCATACATCTGCAGGTACAGCAGTATTCTTCAACTGTTTATTAAATTGTTACGTACTAATAACATACTAGTACATGACATATACTAGCTATAGACTGTATTTTCATGATATTCCCCCCCCTTGTCGAAAATTCCATTAACGCATTTAAATTCCCCCCATCCACCATCATAAACATAAACATACTAATATCACCATCCTTCCTTTTCTTTCTTTTCTCCCCTCCTTCTTTACACTTCAAATCCTTCTTCTTCATTGCCATCTTACCATTACCAGTCCTTCTTAGTAGTTGCATTTGAACACTTTTCATTCAAAACTATTGCATGCGACAATTCAACAAAGTGCACCGTGAATCCCTCCACAATCTCGAATCTCTCCTTGGCTTCAGCAGACTCATCCCTCCTCAATCCAACCAAAAATAATATACCAAATGTCTTCAAACGAACCTGAAGGCGCAGGTGTATCTGCGCAGAATAAAGGATCTTGGAGCGCCTTCTTAAAATCCATCGCGTCATTCAACGGAGACTTGTCTTCCTTGACGGCTCCACCATTCATTCTATCATCTACATCTTTGACTGAATATACTTCATATTGGGCAGAACATCCCAGTATCTTTGTGGCCCCTGCCGCCGAGAAGGATCCTCAGAAAAGAGCCCTTTTGGTCTTGAAATGGTTCTTGAGCACATTGAAACAACACTATGCGAGTCGAAGTGATAAATATGGAAATGAGAAGAAACCTTTGAATCCTTTCTTAGGAGAGTTGTTCCTTGGAAAGTGGGAAGATTCCTGCGGAACCACTGAGCTTATTTGTGAGCAGGTCAGGTATGTGATTTTGTAAGTGTGAATAGTATGCCCTTTCTAACCTTGCCTCTAGCCATCATCCACCTGTTACCGCATACCAAATCTCCAACAAGCAACATGGCGTATATCTACAAGGATACAATGCCCAAAAGGCTTCATTCTCCCGAACCATCAACGTTAAACAAATCGGACATGCGATTCTCAGTATTCCTGCTTATAACGAAACCTACCTCATCACTCTTCCAAACCTCCACATCGAAGGTCTGATTTTTGGTTCCCCATTCGTCGAGCTCGAATCCAAATCATACATCACAAGTAGTTCCGGATTCACAGCCAAGATCGACTATAGTGGCAAGGGATGGTTGTCTGGCAAGAAGAATAGTTTCATCGCGACATTATACCCCACTGGCAAGGAAAAGGACATTCTATACACCATAGCTGGACAATGGACCAAACAATTTGAGATCAGAGGTGGTGGAAAGAAGAGTGATCTCATAGATTCTTATGATGCGGATGCGTCACCTGTTACCCCGCTCTCCATCGCACCGATCGAGGAACAAGATCCGTTGGAGTCGCGGCGTGCATGGTCCAAGGTCGCAGCTGGTATTGCCGCAGGTGACATGGATGCGACTGGTAACGAGAAAACCAAAATTGAAGTTTCTCAACGAGAACTTAGATTAAAGGAAAAGAATGAAGGAAGAATCTGGGAGAGGAGATATTTCACCAGGATGGACAGTTGTCCCATCTTGCAAAAATTGGGTCCTAGCATCCAATTAGTGGCAGACGAGGATAAAACTGGTGGAATTTGGCGATTTGATGAGGCCAAGGCGGCCAAATGTGTCAAATCGGAACCAACGCTACAACCTCAAGAAGTAGATGTGCAAGTCTCGGGTGTTTAAATGCTGGTTACAATCGGGGGTGGTGTTGAAGAGGCCGGTAGCTGCAAAATTAATTGCGGCACACTTCGAGGTTTAACCCAGTGGATAATGGCGTAAATAGGGATTGAAATCGGGATTGGATTGTTGGCCGACGGAATGACTCGAATTGAGAGTTGGTATGTGTGTGGCTGCGGTCCTTTTGGATGGATAGGTGGATGGGATGGGATAGGATGGGATGGAATGGGAAAGGGGGGGGGGGGTTGTGCTCATTATAGATTTCGGGAGAGAGGGATGGGCCGAGAGATGATTTTATACTACTAAAACTACCGAGCTCTTTTTTGTTATGGGTTTTGAAGGATAAGAATATGAGATGAGATGAGATGTTAGGTTACCTAGGAAAGCATTGTGAATTGATTGCTGAATAAGTAAATACTTGATTGAAATTAGATCTTGTTGAAGTTTCTGGCATTGAATTGGGGTTTTGAGAGATGCTGTACTCGTGTGATTTGAGGGGTTGTGTGGGAGGGAGGGTTATGAAGGGTTGTATGGTATGTATATGTGGGATTTTGCAATTGATGCGGATGTTGGAATATGAGCTTGTTGGAAAATATATCTATCTATCTGATGATCTTCAAAAGTAGGGCATTGAAACTCACTCGCTCGTGTCAGCGGGTACGGGGTAAGAAAGACATACTCACTCACTCACTCACTTTGCTATGGATGGTATACAAGACAAGGGCGGAACGTTGTTGGTTTTATAAACGATATCTGATAATCCGAGGATTAGGGCACGCGACGCATGACTATATCATACCATATCGTCCTTTCCATGGCCAATGATCAAGAGGAGTTCCTTGTGCACGTGTACACCTGCCGGCCGGTAAGTTTTGTTGTCGAGTTATCATGAGTTGATACTGCGGACAGAGATCTATTTGTTGGCAGGAGAGCGCTTGATGTACGTAGTAGACAGAATCGGATCTCCTGGCCATGGGAGATTATATATTCACCACGGATATCGATATCGAATTCACCAATATGGGAAGGAACATCGACACCATGGCATGAAGTAATCACTTTCTTGTCGAGGATCATGAACTCGGTCGAGTAGTCTTGGCCATGGGTGAAGGGAAAATTCGAGCTGAGCAGAACAAATCTTCTTCGAATTCTCTCTCCTTTTTCTCCGACGTCTGCTTAGCGAGCGAGGTTGACCCGCCCATCTTTGCAATTGTGGCAAAAACGTGTACACGAGTTTGTCGAACTCGAAATCTGGTTTCTGGTTGCTGCTCCTCTGATCCTTTCACCAAGTGAAATGAATCCATAGCGCGTGCGAATGATATGATAGATAGTAGGCTAAGTACGTACAGTCAAGTCAGTCGTATTCACGGAATCGAAGGTGGCAAAGCTAGGTACGCGTCCATCTCCCGCTTCCCACCCCGCGAACCTTTTGAATATAATATTGACATTTAGACATCCCCACCAGATTATAAGAGGCCGGATGGTCTAGTTGGTTACGACGCTTCCTTTACACGCCGGCTCAACTCGAATTGGCACAATCGGAATAGGTCCTGGGTTCGAACCCCAGTCTGGTCACTCTTTCGTTGATATATTTTGGATGCGCCGTTGTTATTTTGATGATGCAATGGGAATGGTGGTTGCGCGATGAAGGGGGTTTTTTTTACTCGCTTGTGGCTGAGAGAAAATCTTGGTGGGGCATTCACTAATTCAATTAGTTGGTTTCTATCTGTTCAATCTATGGAGCGTGTGCCACACCCGCTAAGGGGTGGCGGCGTGGAGGCGGGCCACAACTGAATGACAATCGCAGATGCCATTCGTTCAGAAACTGGCAGTGCCCAGGAGAGTTTTTGTTTCAAGCCGTCACGGATTTGAACTTGCCGGCTGCGCAGCCTGGTGCTGCACGATGAAGGGGTCTTGAGCCTCTTATGAGATTTAGTACATCCAGTTCGTATTTGCGTAACCGTAGAAGATGGACAGATGTAAGGTATTAGGTACCGACCTACCCTACATAGCGAGACTGATCTGACGATACTTTTCAGGGCTAACAGGAGGATATCGGTCGTGGACTAGCTCCTGTATGATACAATTCCCAGCCATCTAGATCCACCACCATCACTTGAATCATCATACTTGTATATCTCGATTAGTGTCAATCAGACCAAAGAAAGCTAATATGCGGTAAAAGGCTCCGATAATCAGCAGCATGCTATGGGGTATTAGTAGCTCGAGAGTAAAGAGAGAGGGCGTTGAAAAGACCCACATCATATCAAGTCTACCATTTTGTCAACATGCTTTTCAATCTCACTCTCAGTCCACGCTCGGGGTAGGCCTACTTATAATCGGCATGTATGAATGGACCTTGACTTTGCTGGCACGTATTCCATGGTGTCTTCAGACGTTTAATTTCGCATTCTGGTGTAGGAGGACGATACTGGCTTACATTAGAAGAAATATCTAAACCAGACTTTGGTCTAAAAGCAGGCACCATTGCTTGGGCTAAAGCTGAGGAATGAACGAACGCCATTCAAGAGTATATAGACTTACCGTAATAGAACAAACTTTGCTCGTTGATAGCGTCAATATAGAATCGTGACAGGGCTTGCCACAAGAGCTTACAGGTAATAGATACATGAGGTCCTTCGAGAGCATCATGCCCAGCAGGGAATGTGGACAGAATTCAACTACAGATCTAGAGAATATACATCAAGTCGCGTTTTTGCTGACGAAGTATGTATTTCTTGGCGCTTTCTCTCTCAAATGTCTCTAGATCTCGCCTTCAATTAATCTATAAAACACACAACAACATTTATATACATCCATCCACTGGTGATCCAACCAATCGCTTACAGGCCACCCAACCGATATGATGTATACATCTTTCCCACCACTAAGGAAGCCAGATGGATCGTCAAATTAAGGTGGTAATAACACTTCTTCAATGTGCAAGCAAAAGTTGCAAATGGTCTAGTTCAGGTGAACGCACGATAGTGTGACGCGAATGCCATATAAGAGCTCAATACGAAGGTCAAATGCTTCTTTAGAATTAACTACTAGAAAGCATTCAACACGAATGCTCTATACACTCTATATACACAGGAAGTCAGTCACGTACTCGCGTAGCGAACGTGACCACCGTAACGCCAGATAACCTCCGATTGATAGCTCATGATTGAGTTGATACATTACAATTTTATATACGCTCTAATTTAAGTCTCCCTGTTGATCCTAGACCCGCACCCTAAAGCAGCTTTAGTAATGGTACATATACTTAATCTACCTCTCAAGAAACTTTTGGAGTCGACCCTAAAAGGTTACCTATCTTTCTTTCCAAACTCCTCTTTCCCCCTCCCCGCGCCAAACACTCCAATACCCTAATACCCCAATACCTCTACATAAACCATACTAAGGACTTGCATTCCCACTCTCCACATCCCTAGTCTTCTCAGTAATTCCAGCCTTCGCCCCCCTTTTACTAACTTGCGTACTCTGTGCTTGCAGTAACTCCATAATCGCCTTTCCATCATCTTCCTCTCCCGCAGTCGTCGTTACATCTCTTGTATTCTTCGCCTGTGTTCGAATATAAATCCTCTTAATCCACTTCCAGGTCTCGATTCCCAAAAAGAACAAGATAGACTCAACAAAGACAATACCCCATTCCCAACTAATACGCTCATGTTTAAAGACCTTTCGGTTGACGACAGGAATGTAAATGGTAGGGAAGACCGTAACAAAGCCCGCCATGATTGCCCAGAACAAAAACTGATTTCTCCAGATATCATGGATCCACTGGGTGAAATATTTCTTACTGCCAGGTTGCATGCGGAAGAAAGATCTTCTCATATTAATCATCTCCCAAGCGAGGAAGAGGGAAAACCAGGTTAGACAGACAAATGTAGTGGCGCGAGCTCGGAAGACGGTATCGCATTGTACGGAATAACGATCATTACATTCGGAGCCGAGATCACCTGTACCCCAGCCAAAGAGGACGAGAGAGAAGGCAGAAAGACAGAGAGCCGCCATCCAGAGACCATAGACTATCATATCGATCATTACTTCGAGAGTGAACACGCCGCTTTTGAGGGATTGAGGTGGTCGATCCATGATATCTGGTGCTGCGATCTCGAAGCCAAGACCCATATCTGGCATACCTAAATTTCATCAATTGAGTAAAAATCCTATTGGTTAACTTTGGAAAGATCTTACCAGATGTAATCATGATAACCCATAGAATCTCAACGGGTGCCAGTGGAAAGACAGAAGTTCCAGTGTGGTCCTTGAAAGCGAGTCCGATGAGAAGAGTGCAGGCTTGAGCAATATTCTGAGCCAACAAATGTAAGATGAATTTTTGAATGTTGTCAAACATTCTTCTACCCTCTTCGATCGCATTGAGAATTGAAGCGAAGTTGTCGTCCGTAAGAATAATATCTGATGCATCTTTGGCTACATCGGACCCTGCCTCACCCATTGCGATACCGACATCTGCTTTCTTCAACGAAGGAGAATCGTTAACACCATCACCTGTCATAGCAGCAAAAAGCTTTCGTCTATGAAGAGCTTCGATCATGCGAACTTTGGTGTTTGGTGAACATCGTGCAATAACGAGAGGTAGGATTGGAAGGTTGTCGATTTCTGCGTCGCTGAGCTTGTCGAATGCGCTTGCTGTCATGACCATCACATTCAGGCTATCTTGTCCTATTGTAGAGGTATTTTGAGGTAAAATTCCAACTTGTGCTGCGATAGCACGTGCGGTCTCTGGGTGATCTCCAGTGAGCATGTGAACTGCGATACCTGCTTGGTGACATTTCTGCACTGAAGCCTCGGATTCTGGACGCGGCGGGTCATATAGACCAATAAGTCCATGGAAGATTAAATTGTCCTCTACTACAGCCCGATCAGGTTGAGCATCGGTCGAAGTAGAACATTCCCATACTTTACTAGCCAACGCTAAAACACGAAGACCCTGGGCGGCGAGCGCTTCCATGTTGCTCATAATCTCGCCACGCATTTCTTCTGTCATTAATATGATCTCTTCGTTTCGCATCCTAATCCATGGGCATGATGAAATCACCCTCTCAACTGCACCCTTTGTAAAAACCATTGCATTACCAGAGTTATGCTCAAAGATGACAGACATCTTCTTCACATCTGAGTCGAAAGGAAACTCAGCAACTTGTCTCCACTGAGGGGAGTCCCCAGCAGTCCATCGTTCCCTATTCCAATTGAATCTGCAAGCAAAGACTTGAATCGCAATCTCAGTTGGGTCACCTCTTGCTTTCCAACCATCTTCGCTTTTGTGAACATGAGCAAGATTTGCCATTGAAGCAATATTGAGGAACGTTTGAAGGTCGGAGTTATCTTGCAAAAGGTTGGAAAATGAATCTACCTTTTCTTGACTGCTTCCATTACGCATTTGGTGGGGAGATTTCTCGCTATGAAACAAATCTCCATCTTCGGGATCGAACGGGTTGCTGGAGGGTCCAACAGAGTAAGTTCCCCTAGATGGCATCCATACCTTTTTCGTAACCATTTTACCTTGAGTGAGAGTTCCAGTCTTATCCGAGCAAATATCTATAAAAGTTGTTAATCATTGAACGTCACTATCAAAATCAAAAGTATCTTACCAGTAACTGCACCTAACGCTTCGAGGGCATCCATTTTTCGTACAACCACATTCTTTTTTGACATTACATCAGTGCCAGCGGCCATAGTAATGGTTAAGACCACGATCAGTGATGCTGGAATCATTGAAAGTCCAGTGGCTACAGCGTAAATAATCACCTCTTGGTTGTTGGAAAATTTGTTCGCACCCAAAACAATGATTGCACAGATGACAGCGACAACAAATAGTAGACAAGCAAGCCGGGATAACTTCTTTTGCAATGGAGTACCAACGTTAGTGCCAAGAAAACGACCGACAAAATCAGTTGTAGTAAGGGCCCATGCCTGAGCATATCGGTGCGGCATAGCTTTACCAGCTTCGTTACGCTTAACCTCTCGAACTTTACTAGCCTCTTGTCGAAGAGACTTGGCAATAGATCCAATTTGTGTTTTCATACCCACTGCATACACAATACCGCGAGCTCGACCCTTTGTTACTGTGGTTGAGCTAAAGGCAACATTGATACGATCACCAGCTGTGGTATCAGGCTCAAAAAGTATAGTTGAATCCTTCAAAATCGGCAGCGATTCTCCTGTCAATATCATTTCGTCGGTCTCAAAGTTCATGCTTTCAACTAATCTACACGGGATCTGTTAGCATATGGCAAGGATAGAGGAGGGGACATGGAAATGTACCTAACATCTCCCGGAATGGTATCACCAGTTTTGAATTCAACCATATCACCAACAACGATTTCAACAGTTGGTATTACTTGAATTTTACCGTCTCTAACAGCATGTGCCGTGGGGGAACTCAAGGAGCGCAATGAATCCATCGTCTTCTCCGCTTTGTACTCGTTGATGAACCCAATCACAATATTGAGAAAGATTACAGCTGAGATGACACCGCCTTCGATATATGAGCCAATACCAAAACTGACAGCCATGGCCAATATCAATACCTAAAAATAAATTTA